CTCCAGCTTGCTTTTGCGCCATGTTTTCTCAGCAGCTCTTGATTGTTGCTTCTTCTTCCTGATGTTATAGTCATACCAGTTGGTGTTTGGACGCAGTATCACAGAGCGTTTCTTGAGTGGGGCATGGTTGTCCAAGATGGTAGTAAGAAGGCCTTTGAAAGAAGTAAACTTATCATCAACATCCTCAAACTGACTGACTTTGCTCATGACATCTTCAGTATCCAAGTCATGATCCTACCAATACCAAACACAGAGCAGTATGGATCCTACCAGTACCAAACATAGAACAGCGTGGATCCTACCAATACCAAATATAGAACATGGTGGATTCTACCAATACCAAACATAGAACAGCGTTGGTCCTACCAATACCAAACATAGAACAGCATGGATCTTCCAATACCAAACACAGAACATGATGAATCCTACCAATACCAAACATAGAACAAAATGGATCCTATCAATACCTAACATAGAACATGGTGGGTCCTACCAATACTAAACAGAGCAGTATGGATCCTACCAGTACCAAACATAAAACAGAGTGGATCATACCAATACCAAATATAGAACATGGTGGATTCTACCAATACCAAACATAGAACAGCGTTGGTCCTGCCAATACCAAACATAGAACAGCATGGGTCCTACCAATACTAAACAGAGCAGTATGGATCCTACCAGTACCAAATATAGAACAGCGTGGATCCTACCAATACCAAATATAGAACATGGTGGATTCTACTAATACCAAACATAGAACAGCGTTGGTCCTACCAATACCAAACATAGAACAGCATGGATCTTCCAAAACCAAACACAGAACATGATGAATCCTACCAATACCAAACATAGAACATGGTGGATCCTATCAATACCAAGCATAGAACATGGTGGGTCCTACCAATACCATACATAGAACAGCGTGGATCCTACCAATACCAAACATAGAACAGCATGGATCTTCCAAAACCAAACACAGAACATGATGAATCCTACCAATACCAAACATAGAACATGGTGGATCCTATCAATACCAAGCATAGAACATGGTGGATCCTACCAATACCAAACATAGAACAGCATTGATCTTCCAAAACCAAACACAGAACATGATGAATCCTACCAATACCAAACATAGAACATGGTGGATCCTACCACCACATGTCCAAAGTAGGAAGCTCAAACGACTCCCACGTCGTAGGCTCAGATAACTCCCCAGGCTCAAACGACTCCCCTGTCGTAGGCTCAGATAACTCCCCATGCTCAAAGACTCCCCTGTCGTAGGATCAGATAACTCCCCAGGCTCAAACGACTCCCCCATTTGTTTTGAAGAATACAAATGTTTTGACACTAATTGTGCAACAGTCTGTGAATGTCGTACACACATAATATGTTTTCGATGATACAGCACAGTATTTTCGATGATTGCACCCCATTTTTTATATCTTGTGAAATAACCAGATTTTTTGCATAATAAGATTTTATGTGATAAATTTGAATTTGAAGGACATTATCAAGTAATTTCGTTTAGACTTTATACACATCAGCAACTTTATTTTCTGACACAGTGGCTGATATTGACGCTTTAATTTACTGCAATATTTGTTTAACTTTAAGATTTGTATTCAATATTCTATTTGAGTTACTAACTTTGTATTTCAAATAATACTGCACCTGATGTTTGATTGTAATGTTTGTAATATTTTTTAGAAAGATAATTATATTGGCACTATGACCTTTTGGGCAATCTTATTTCCTCATGTAAACTGTTGATATGCATGCACAATCATAATGTAACAAAATTCATGGAATTCTATATTGTTTAAAACATATGAAAATAATTACTATACCTAAAGTGATACCTAGGTGGTTGATACAGTTATGTCTCTTTATACACGAAAACTAATCGTCTTGTAAATTTAAAATATATTATGGGTTTTATTAAACTTATCTATTGTTTTTAATCCACCAACTCGCCAGCTACAAAACACTAAATCTCGGTAACTGGGCATTATAAATTGTGAGTAAATAAAATCAGATATATTTACCTTCCAGGGCAATTTTATAATAATTTGTACAATGTGGTAATTTGTTATTTGTGAATCAAAGTTTACTGAGTATTTGGGGAATTTGTTTTAACTGAGTGGAAGGGGTCATATAATACAGATGCGTGTCTATGATTTTAAAAGGAAGTGTGAGTGGATCGTCTGTTTGACAAATCTAACAAATGGTAGTCATGATCTCACAACGACTATGCAATGTACAAATATTTGCTCTGTTCTTTTAATCTCAACCCTTGACTAGTAATTGACTAGATGGCATTGACGAATGTTGCCTCATCGACCAATGTTGTTTTAACAATATAAGTAGGATCGCCTACTTGGATTTTGAGCAGGAAATTCTCATAATGACTTGAAATGTTGAAAAACAGCTTTGTAAAGATTAAATTCTCGGATATCATGAGAAATATAGAGATGATGATATATAAGACGACACAGAACTTTGAACGCGTATTGCGTCGTCGTCGACATATATATATCTGAGTTGGAGATGAGAGGACGTGTCCTCTATCGGGCACAACACAGTCTCACCATTTAACACAACCTGTGGCCATCAACCCATTGAACTGTGAATACACATACACATTCAAGAATCAACCATCACTACAACAAGGGCATTCTTCCTGTGAGATTCGGACTCTTGACCCCAAGCCGCCATTGCTCTCCCGGTCTGACCCCCCCCCCCCCCCCCCCCCCCCCAAGCGCTTCCCGAAGGACTAGCTAGCCGTCATGCTCAGCTTAGATAAGTTTATTTACCATCTCTTTTTGCTTAAATATATCCTTCCCCCAATATTATTTTGTACCATTTTTCATATGTATGTCTATAAAAACCCAATCCCAATGTAAATATGTGTAAATAACTTGCAAATAGTTCTTGTGTATATTCTCATCATTGTCATTTACTGTCATTTTTGTCACAACCCACAACCCACAACCCACTCCACACCCCAACAAAATCACCTCCCCAAAACACATCACCATCCTGGACCCCTCATTCTCCCCAAACATGGATCTCACATCATCCCTTCTATCAACATCAATCTTTTCAACCCCAGACCCAAAAGAATTCCCTGGACTCCCCAAAACACAGAACATAAACATCATCCCTTCCAACTTTGGCCTTGACCTTGAAATCATCACCCCCTCACGTCCCAGCAATAAAACACCTCCCACTACTCACCAACACCCAACAAAAAAAAAAAAAAGAACTTACAACTCCCCGGCAGAACACCAACAAAGCCCCCCCAAAAAACATGCGACCAACCAACACCCCCACAAAACCCTTCACTTAACCCACCACCCAAACAACTTCTTCTCGCTTTCCACGCCAACTCCACTAACCCTTTAAACGAAACCTACTCTTCTAACAAATTTGCAGTTTGCCTAAAAAAATCCAACATAAATTTCAAATTCATAAACTCTTGCGGCCGAGGCTTCAAAATCACCTTCCCGGACCAAACTTCATGAAATAACGCGCTACGCAACCCCATCATCGACGGACTCAATATCAACTGGCAAATCCCTAGATGGCAGACAGAAATCCAAGGAGTTATCTACCTTGCTAACGCGACACAACAGAAGATATACAAGAATACATTGCTCTCTCAAACCACACACCTTCACAACCACAGATCACAACCTATAAAACAATCAAAAACCGCCAACACACACAAAGCAAACCAACTAAACAAACAGTCTTTCTTACATTTAAGTCAACTACTCTCCCCACACACATCACCTTCGGCGCCTTCAATTAACCAAAACACCATTCGAAAAAAACCTCCCTAATGTATCTACTGCCACTCATTTCAACATAAATCATCAGATTGCAAAAAACAACAACTCTGCCCAAAGTGTGGATCAGAAAATCACACCATCCAAGAATGCTCCTGGTCCCCATATTGTGTCAACTGTCAAGCCGAAGGTCACACATCCAACCAAAACACGACTCCAGCTACCACAGCCAGCCATGAACAACCGCACTCAGGGCCTCCACCACCAGTCACTACCAACGTAGCCCTCCTAGATCAAACTCAAACCTCCGTACAGCACACACAACATCCTCAGTATACACAGCAGAAGACACAATCGTCCAACTACAAAATATCCAACAAAACCTCATAGAATTCATCACTGCACTAACCCTCTCTCCCAACAACATAATCGAAACAATTCACCAGTATCTCTTCCAAACCTAACTATACACTCTCCCGTTGGTACAATTTAAATCCATCAACTATAATGGGACAACACAAACACCTCTATAGCTGGACCACTAAAAACTACACATACATATTTGGTAATAATACTATACGCGTGGGCACAACAAAACGACCTTATAATTTTTAATGAGAAATCCCCTACCAGCTACAGCCCACAGGAAAACCAAAACTACCTCACTGCAATGGACCTGACAATAACTACTCCCAATTTGGCAAGTAAATCTACATTGGAAGTATTTGACGACCCATGCGGAAGTCAATCCCAACTTCCCAATGTCAATAAATTTAAAATTTGGTCCAAATTATATACCAGAACAAACTTCCTGAGATCCAAAATTTAACTACAAAAAAGCAAACTGAAAAAATAGAAAACCCTAATTGGCCAAACTGACCAACCACAAATTATAAATTCAGACCCCGAAATCTTTTCCAAACATTTAACAAAAGAAATTATCACTATAGCCACCAAGTGTATCCGCAAAGCTAACCCCAAACCCGAAAGAAATAAAGTTGCCCGATGGACCCCAGAAATCAAAGAGGCTAGAAGACAAAGAAAGCGAGCATTTAGACGCACATCCCACCCACATGAACTCCCACAAGGATTGCGAGGATACTATCAAATAATCTAAAAACATTCTTTTAGCTTGTGTTTGATGACGACTCATTCAAGCTGCTCATTCAAGAACGTCTCCTTTGATCAATAATCAACGGGTAATTAAAACATGTTCTTTATTTTCACCAATTTTTGCCATAAAGAAGTCCAATTCTTATATTCTAGAAAAAACAACACAGACTGAAATGAAGTATGGTGAACTCGCCCATTTTTCACATACTCGTGATGTCTCTTAAAGGAACTGAGTGACAATCCTGCTTTCTGCGCAAGAACACCAGTGACGAAAGTATCATCCACCCAATAGAATTTCGTGTCTTCAGACGCTTTACACAACGCTTTAACTTCATCCACAGACGTTATGTAGGCCAGACCCTCGCAGTAAGGAGGGTATAACTCAAATGGGTACTGTTCTTCAGGGGTGTACCATTTATCGCTAGTATCCCTCTTCGGTTTCCCTCTCTGAAAGGCGGAACAGTAAAGATTATTATGGTAGTGACCAATCTGAACAGAATAACTGACCAGCTTGAAAATATTGATGAGAACATCGTCATCAACCTTGACAACAGTTCTAACGTCATGGCATTGTGACGTGATCCAGCAAAGAGCCATCACGTGTTTGTAAGTCAGATTTCTGTACGAGTCCAGAAAGTTGCCTTGAACTATGTCACCATATGTACCAGATTCTCTGATTAGTTGTTCTTGCAGGGCACGGTCTGTTGTCTCTCCACACATAAACACAGTAGCAATGGATAAATTTCCGTGCCTCTGTACAGATCCCCATGTGTCACGTATATCATTCCTTTTCTCAATGTTATTAGGAGCTGAGTGTACGAATATCAATATGTTAATGTCACCATTGCAAACCTTTGAGTTCAGATGATATACAAAATCATGTCTGTTAAGTAATGCATCTTTTTCCGATTCATGCCTTACATGAAACCAGTTTTGGACATTTGCAAGAATTTGTTTAACCTCTTTGGGGTTTATTTGTCTATGTTCTACCTTTCTGATTTGAGGGGAAACCTTGTTTAAGGAATTCTTTGCTTTCGTTTTCTGGGTTTCATTATCTTGCCTGACCATCGCCCTCTCTCTTTCACTTATATTGTTCACCAAGGGCCGTTCAGATCTTCTTCCATCGAGAGGTTTGTTCATTTTCATCCTATAGGTTTGATAAGACTGAATCCCTTTTCTGACGTGACGGTCACTGAACTTAGGCACTGCTATGTATTGACCATGTCCTTTTTTCCTTGTAGGATGTGTTGTGATCTTTGATACTTCATGATCATTAACAACGAGAGTTTTATGGACCCTGATTTCCAATTTACTTCGTGTATCTTTAGAAGGGATATCTCTACCCGATGTGTAAATCTAGTCTGTCTGAGATTGATACCAAATATATACGAACAGCACCAGTACCAGTATAAATGCACATTTCTTAAAGACACGAATTCTGAGAAAAGGCATTGTTCAGTTTCTGGTCATGTCAAGTCCTATGAGTTGAGTACGTCTTCAAGTCTTCAAGTCTTCGGGGTCCTAAAGCATGGGTCCTCCGCTGCCGTGTCCCCATCAAAAAGGAATTCCATCTGAAGAAACACAATTATAGATACAATCTGATATACATCGGATGTTTATGTACACTCTTATAAAAATACCACACACAAAATCCGGTATATGTATTGGATATATGATATTTGAAAATGTTGATGGCCTGATATTCGACAAACGGTGCGTCACAACGCAGCCATTGTCGATTTGCAGTGTCTTAAACGGCATTGTTTTCACACTTGTTCAAAAATGTCATGGAGGAAAACAGTAAAGCAAAATGCGCGTGCAAGTTATGTCATTCGTAACTCGTGGTAGTGGCTATAAAAAGGCAAGCGTAAGCCAATAATTTGTCATTCAATTGTCAACATTTTTCAAGCTCGAAAATGTCCAGACTCAGCGCTGTCGATCGGAACATCGCCCCAGGACGTATCCAAAGAGGGGAATCGCAGTTTTCTGTTGCACGCCACTTCAACGTCCACCACAGCACCATTTGGGACTGATACACACAGTTCAATTCCACTGCAGACCGTCCGACCCAGAGTTACCACCCCTACACAGGATCGCTACATTCGATTGTTCCACCTACGTCATCGCAATGCCACAGCTACAGAGACTGCTTGAAGCATCCCTGGTTTGAGCAGGATATCGGACCAGACTGTCAGGAACCATCTTCGCGAGGCTGGAATCCGACCAAGAAGACCAGTTACCGTCTCTGTTTTGCAACAGATCCATCGACAGCGACGCTTGCAGCCTTGGAATTTGAGAAACTGGAGACGAGTGTGGTTCAGCGATGAATCATGATTTCTTCTTCAACGTGTTTATCGTCGTCGAAATGAGCGTTTTGCCCCACATTGTGTACGTGAATTCGACAATTTCGGTGGCGTTAGTGTCATGTTGTGGGGGGCCATATCAAACACCAGGAGATCTGACTTGGTTGTGCTACAGGGAAATTTGACAGCAAATCGCTACATGAATCAAACTCTTCAACCTCACCTTCTTCTAATCATTGACCGCCAGAGGGAGCTGTTTCAAATGGACAATGCCGCAGAACCGTGGCCTCATGTGACATGATAATGAACAGTTTTCAATGCCTTTGTACAACGACAACATGTGACTATCGACGTCCAAAATTTCTTATTTGTGTCTATGATATTAAATTAAATATATCGACTTTATTAGATACAATAAGTCTACCTGTGCGTTTCTTTTTTTGAAGAGTGTATATCCAATTTATATACCGGAATATTTGTGTAGTCAGGTTCAATGAACTACATATTACCTGTGCGTTTCTTATTTTGAAGGGTGTATATTTTTGTAAATGAATTTATGCATTAGGGTTTGCATCTATTTAAGATTGTCGTCCTCTATGTAGATAAATGAATATTTACCGTGTGTCGTCCCCTATGTATATGAATCTTTATTTACCATGTGTCGTCCTCTATGTAAATGAAGTTATATTTGCTCTATGTCATCCTCTTTGTAAATAAAGATATATTTACTCTGTGTCCTCCTCTACGTATATGAGGACGTATATGAATGTAAATTTACCCTAGCTGCATCGTCCTTTATGCATCTTAATGTATATTCATCCCGTGTTATCCTCAACGCATATGAATGTATATTTACCCTAGCTGTATCGTCCTTTATGCATCTTAATGTATATTCATCCCGTGTTATCCTCAACGTATATGAATGTATATTTACCCTAGCTGTATCTTCCTTTATGCTTCTTAATGTTTATTCATCCTGTGTTATCCTCTATTATATGATTGTATATTTACCCTAGCTGTATCGTCCTTTATGCATCTTAATGTTTATTCATCTTGTGTTATCCTCAACGTATATGAATGTATATTTACCCTAGCTGTATCTTCCTTTATGCATCTTAATGTACATTCATCCTGTGTTATCCTCTATGTATATGAATATATACTTACCCATTGTCGTCATCTACTATATGAATATATATTTACCCATTATCGTCATCTATGTATATGAATATATATTTACCCATTGTCGTCATCTATGTATGTGAATATTTAATTCCCCAAGCTGTATCCACCTTTTGTATATTAATGTATATTTACCCTAAGTCGTCATCTACGTCAATGAATACATATTTATCCTCTTTGTACATCAATGAATATTTACCCACGGTCGTCCTCTGTATATATGAATGTATATTTACCCTGTGTCGTCATTCATGTATATGAGTGTGTATTTACCCTGTGTCGTCATACAAAATGAATGTATATTTACTCTTTATCGTCTTCTAAGTATTTGGATGTATATTTATGGTGTGTCGTCCTCTAAGTATTTGAACCTGTATTCAGAAACACCATGACGCAACTAATATTCAACACTACACTACGCAGATATAACATTGCGATACCCAGATAGAACACTATACTACCCAGCTACAACGCCACAATACTCAGTCACAACAATACTCAACTCCAACCCAGATACAACACAACACCACCAAGGCACAACACTACGCCAACCAGATACAACACAATACTACCCAGACACAACACTACGCCACCCAGATACAACACTACTCCGCCCAGATACAACACTACTCCACCCACATACAACACTACTCCGCCCAGATACAACGCTACTCCACCCAATACAACACTACATTACCCAGATACAATATTACCCAGACACAAAACTACACCACCCAGAGACAACACTACACCACCCAGATACAACACTACTCCGCCCAGATGCAACACTTCTCCACCCAGATACAACACTACACCACTAAGATACAACACTACACCCCCCAGATACAATATTACCCAGATACAGCACTACACGAAACAGATACAACACTAGACCACCCAGATACAATACTACCAAGATACAACACTACTCCAGCCAGATACAACACTACACCACCCAGATAAAATACTACAACCCCCAGATACATACTACATCACCCAGATACGACACTACATCACCCATATACAACACTACATCACCTAGATACAACACTACACCACCAAGTTACAACACTACACCACTAAGATACAATACTACACCACCCAGATACAACACTACAGCGCCCAGATACAACACTACACCAACCAGATACAACACAATACTACCCAGATACAACACTACACCACCCAGATACAACACTACACCACCCATATACAATACTACACCACCCAGATACAGCACTACACCACCCAGATAAAATACTACAACCCCCAGATAGAATACTACATCACCCAGATACGACACTACATCAACCAGATACTACACTACATCACCTAGATACAACACTACACCACAACGTTACAACACTACACCACTAAGATACAATACTACACCACCAAGATACAGCACTACACCACCCAGATACAGCACTACACATAACAGATACAACACTACATCACCCAGATACAACACCCCGCCACCCAGATACAACACTACACCATCCAGATACAGCACTACACCACTCAGATACAGCACTACACCACTCAGATACAGCACTACACCATCTAGATACAACACTTCACCATCCAGAAACAATACTACACCACCCAGATACAACACAATACTACCCAGATACAACACTACACCACCCAGATACAGCACTACACCACCCAAATACAACACTATACCACCCAGACACAGAACTACACCAACCAGATACAGCACTACACCATCCAGACACAACACTACACCATCCAGATACAACACTACATCACCCAGACACACAACTACACCACCCAGAAACAGCACTACACCATCCAGATACAGCACTACACCACCCAGATACAACACTACACCATCTAGATACAGCACTACACCACCCAGATACAACACTACACCATCCAGATACAGCACTACACCACTCAGATACAGCACTACACCACTCAGATACAGCACTACACCATCTAGATACAGCACTACACCACCCAGATACAGCACTATACCATCCAGACACAACACAACACCATCCAGATACAGCACTACACCACCAAGATACAGTACTACACCATCCAGATACAGCACTACACCATCCAGATACAGCACTACACCACCCAGATACAGCACTGCACCATCGAGATACAACACTACACCATCCAGATACAGCACTACACCATCCGGATACAACACTACACCATTCAGATACAGCACTACACCACCAAGATACAATACTACACCACCCAGATACAGCGCTATGCCACCCAGATACAGCACAGTACTACCCAGATACAGCACTACACCACCCAGATACAACACTACACCACCCAGATACAACACTACACCGCCCAGATACAGCACAATACTACCCAGACACAGCACTACAACACCCAGATACAGCACTACACCACCCAGATACAACACTACACCACCCAGATAAGCACAATACTACCAAGACACAGCCCTACACCACCCAGATACAACACCACACCACCAAGATGCAAGACTACACCACCCAGATACAGCACTACATCACCCAGAAAAAAAAAGTACACCACCCAGATACAGCACAATACAACCAAGATACAACACTATACCACCCAGATACAGCACTACACCACCGAGATACAACACAATACTACCCAGATACAACACTTCCCCCTACACACTACACTACACATATTCAACACTATGTATCCATATTTTGTATTTCAGTCCCTACCTCGTGCCTCGCATTGAGGAAACAAACCGTGCATCAGCCGTTGCGCTTCAATACAACAACGCTGCCCTTCGTGTTCTAATGAAATGATTAATTCACGAGACACGGTGTGTTGGGAGATCTATTGTGTGTGATTGCAGCATCCCCAGGGTGTCCCTCGGCAAATATTTCCACACAACATGACCTGAACATGGAATATTTATAGACAACTAGCTGTCGACTGCCCTGAGTCACCAAACGGTGCATTTGGACTGCACAAATATCAATGATTTTCCTGCTTGAGAAAAAATCGATGTTTTGAAACACGTCCATCACAGTTTGTTTTACATAACATTACCTAGATAGTTTAGCATGTTACCTGATCTAGTTGTAATGGAGATGTACAAATATTCAGTGAATGGTTCATCATATCCAAATGAACTCTTGTAAGGTTTTGACCAGTTTCAGGGATGTATACGTACTGCCATAGATGTAAGTTGTAATAGAACCAACACAACACAGAGGAATATATGCTCACTCTATGAACTCTTTATCTCGTGGTAAAAAAACCCTGTTCACCCGGACACACTGTGTGAAGCCCATACCTGGGGAAACTAACAGAATTACTGTGAAAATTTATGTCAATAAGGCTGTTTTAATGCTTTTGACATAGGCTATTAGATACTCTACATGTCTGTCTCCAGCGTATATGGGTGTGTTCTACAAGGGCGTGTTCCATGTCGCGTTTAGTTTCCATATGAAAATTTTTCGATCATGTTTAACGGTTTTCATTTTAAACTTTATTTTAGGAGACATGTTGAAGTAACACGCTACCGACTGACAGGCTAAAGTGACTAGATGCATAATTTCGAAAGTGTAAGGTATAATTTGTATCAAATTTTGTTTGAGTTACTTAAAAATAATTAAATTATTGTGTCAAGATTTACCTAATTTTTCAAAATTTAATTCTTGTGGAAGTCTCTATCAACACGATTTCACAATTTAACCAATACAGTCACCGATTCAAATGAAACTTATCAGTTCGAATTTTGTAAAAAAAATATATCCTCAGATCAAATCAGTCTAATAATGATCACATCCCCCCAATGTACAATTATCTGTAAGAAGAAAATACACTTACCGGTGACAGAATGGAGCTTTCTGGAGCCGAGCTTCCTTCCTGCAGCCAACGTTCCCTATGATGCTTCTAACACTTTTAACGATCCTTCAACAGCTGGCGATGTATGGTTATGTGTTGTGTGCAATGGACAAGCAATCGATAGCTGTAGATTTCATAGATGTCAATCAATTTTTATTACACACAAGTTCAGCAGAAGGTATCAAACATCACTCCTGACAGCTTCCCGGATGTACTCATGTACACACAATATTAATTTGCATAATCTCGCCCGGTTACACTCAAAGTTTAGGTTTTATTCAACGGGGTTTATTTAACCCACGTTCTCAATACACATCTCTAAATGGTCCAGTTGTGTGCGAGTCCAATACTGTTTGCACACTGGTTGTAGGTGTATTATCCGGTGAAGTTGAAGGACTCCTGCTGACATACACTTACCTTGTTGACACTTCTTACAAACGCCCTTTCGTACATCTACTTGAATGACATGTTCCTGTCAGTTAAGTTCGATTAGATGAGCACCGACACGTCATAGTTCACGTCATGACGTCATTGTTTCAGAGCGTCATAACTTTTGTTTCATGGGATGTCATCATGACCATCTATAAGTATGACGTCATGGAGATGTGGTTCGCTGCGCGTAGTTGTACATGTCTCTGGGTTACCAGGATCCGCTGATCACGGGGTTGAATCCAAGATTTGCCACGATTATGACAGTTGATCTGCTAGCCTTTGTCTTTTGGGGGCATTCCCCCCCCCCCCCCCCCCCCCCCCCCCACACACACACACACACATCAACTGACGGAGCGTGATACCACTGCATGCTGACCAAAAGGTGAAAACAAGACTTGCTCGCTATCCGGTAATAGGCTCGCATCCATATGAAAGCCATAGCCATAGCTAACAACCTAACACACAGGTCCCCACAATATGGCTACGTCTTCATGATCGATCAAACGTCTTCACTTACAATATCTATCAAGAGTTATACTTGGAGATCACGATTTTTAAAAATAGATCATGAGGTAAGGGATTTAACATATATAATGATTTACTAATTCCACACAGAACCTTTTTGCCTGAGTTGATGCACTATTAACATGAGCAGACCACAGTGGTTATCTAGAGAATAATAATCCCAAGTATTTGTAACATGAAACACATTCAAGCTGGTGCTCGTTAAAATACCACTTTTCCACTCTTGATAAATTTCCACCATTTTTAAAAACAACGATTTTAGTTTTTGCTAAGTAAACAGACAGGTGGTATTGATCACAAAAAAACATCCCTTCACACAACTATAGATAGATTCAAGTGCATTTAACATCTTGGGTGAAACTTCCCTGTATTTTAATATAAACCATAATTTAGATCTGTTAACAAAGTCGAAAGCATTTTTGAAGTCCACAAAAGCGAATGAAACTTATAAATTACCACGCTTTTTTGAAAGGCAGTGTTGATTTGATTGGGATCGTCTAAAGTTATGCTATTAAGTTTGTTTCTTTAAGGAAAGTGGCTATTTGTAAGTAGGTGGCTGGGGGGTTGTTTGGTTTAAATAACATGTTGATATTGTTTTTGTAGTTGGGCGGGAGGGAGTTGTATAGTGTTTGTTGTTGTTGTTTATATTTTGTACAGGTGTTGAATATGTGATTTATGGCTTCAGTGGTGTTACAGTGGATGCAGTTTGGGTTTGGGTGTCTGTTCTGTTTATGAAGTGTTTCGTTTAAGTTGGTTTGGTTGCTTTGTATTCTGTGTATGATTTTATCTGCTAGGATGGAGTTTGTATAGTTTTTGCATTTTGTGATTGGGGTGGTGATCAGTGTTTTTATCCGTTGTGATTTGCATTTTTGTATATTATTCTGGAAACTTTGTTGTTTTATAGTGTGTTTTATTAATGTTTTTGTTTCGGCTTAGCTTGTATGGAATTGTATTGGGGGTGACTGTTCATTAATTTTGTTGCTGCTTTTGCTGTTTGGTCTGTGAATTCATTTCCTGGTATGCCTGTGTGACTGGGTATCCATACTAATGTTATTGTTTTATTTGCTGTGTTTAGTTTTGAGTGGGTGTTTACATTTTGTTCAATTAGGTCGGGTCTGGTTTTTGAGTGTTTGTCTGAAATTTGTTTTATTGAATTTAGTGAGTCAGAGATAATGATGATTTTGTTTTGGTTTGTTGTTTCAGCTTGGTGGTATGCTTGTAGTATGGCTATCAATTCTGCTGTATTTGTATGGGTATAGTTTGTGTAATGGTATTTTTTGGTGATTGGTGTAGGTTGTGTTGTGTGGATACCCAGCCCTGTTTTTTGTTTTTTTTTGTATTATATGATGCATCTGTGTATATGTGTACAGGTGGGTGATGAAGGGGGCTATTTGTTTGTTGTTTTTGAATTTTTTGATAGTGGCGGGTCTGGCGTTTTGTTATTTCAGTGTTATTTGTTTGAGGATGGGGTTTTGTTGTGCCCCAGCCCAGTAGTTGAGTATTGATTGGTGACGTTTGAGTTGTATTGATGTAGTGCCTGTAAGGATTTGTAGTGTGCTTAGGGAGGCGCCAGCTCTGGTACCCAGGGCTATCTTAAGAGCTTTATATTGAATAGAGTTGAGCTTTTTTTCCAAGTTTTCTGTTGGGGAGTGGAAGACCGGAGCAGCATAGTCTAATTTTGCTTGTATAAGTGTTTTGTATATGTTGATAAGTGTTTGTTTGTCAGCTCCCCAGTGAGAGCCGCTGATGGCTCTCATAAGGTTTATGTCTTTTTGACAGGAATTGACCAAATTATGAATGTGGGGAGCCCATGTGAGATGTTGGTCAAATGTGACTCCTAGACATTTTGCTTCTTTTTGGAATTTAATAGTTTCTTCATTAAGTGTGAGTTTTGGTGTTAAATTTGGCATGAAGGTTTTTTTTAATAATAAGCCGATGGTATTTTGGGTTTAATTTTGAACCCCCATTGGGAAGCCCAGTGTTCAAGGTCCAAAAGGATGGGTTTGATTCTTTTTTCAATTTGTTTTAATGATGTTGATGACGTCCAGAATGAGATATCGTCTGCGAATTTTGCTGTAGTTATATTATTTGGGAGTTTTGGAAAGATGTCAAGCGGGTGGGGGTCAGATATTGTGTTGTTTGATTTTACTGTTATGTTTCTGTTGCTTAGGAATGAGTGAATGAAATTTAGAATTCTTCCATCTATAGCTTTGTCTATAATTTTTGAATTAGGCCTTTTTGTCAAACCATGTCAAAGGTTTTAGAAAAGTCAATAAATATGGCCACAGTGTATTGTTTTTGTGCTTGGGCTGTCTTTACGTCGTGTTCCAAATTTAAAATGTGGTCTAAAGTCTGTCTATTGGCTGTAAAGCCACTCTGGTCCTCCTTGATAAGGCTATTGTTTTTAATTTTGTACTTTAGTCTGTTATTGATTATTGATTCCATGATTTTACATATATGTGTTGTGAGAGAGATGGGTCGGTATGAATCAGGGTCATTTGGGGGTATCCCTGGTTTCAGAACTGGCACCACAAGTGCATTTTCCATGTTTTGGGGAGATAGCCAGATGTCCAAATTAGGTTGTAGAGTTGTAGTAGTAATTTTTTAAATTTGATAGGGATGTGGTTGAGGATTTTGTAGCTAATATTATCTAGTCCGGTGGCTGGGGATGTGTTTTTGTTTTTTATTGCTGTTTGGAGTTCATGTATATTAATGAGTTTGTTGATGGGTAGGTGTGAGTGAGGTGTTCTGTTTTGGTATGTAGGTTGAGTTTTTATGGTGTCTTGTATGTGTTTTGAGTGGTTGGTGGAGCTACTGGAGGCCGAGAAGTGGGCAGCCATGGCGTTAGCCTTTTCTTTATCTGTTGTTAACGTGGGGAATTTGGGCATATAAAAAGTCTTAGCATTACCTTTAATTGCTTTAATTTTTTTCCATAGTTTTGATGTGTTTTGTTTGCCCAGCCTTAAGGTTGATGTGAAAGTTTGCCAATGTTTTTTTTGGCTGCCTTTATTAATTCCTTAGTTTGATTTCTTTGTGTGTGAGCCAAATGCAGTTTAGTAATATCTCGTTTAGCCTTAGTTAGTGCTTTTATCCTAAGTTTTCTGGATTCAATGATTTCTGTGCTCCACCATGGTACTGGGTTGTGTGTAAGGTTTGTTTTGGTGGTGGGTATCCATTTCATAGCTATGTTGTAGAGTGTATTGCTGAGGTTTGTGTTGAATGTGTCGATATCAGTATTATGTATGTTCTGTATGTCTATTTTGTTGCAGAGTGTGGTGAATTCCTGCCAGTCGGCTTTAACGAAGTTAAATTTGGTTTGTTGGTGGTTGTTTTTGGGGTGGTTTTTTTTATGAGAATGGCTGCTGACAGGAATTCAATGATTTTTTTGGTGTTTGTGTGGAGTTTCTTTGGGGTGATTGTTTGTTGTTTTTTTGTTGTTTTTTTGGGGGGGGGACATGCGGAGTGATTGGATTTTCTGTTAGATGAGTTGTTTTTGGGAAGTGTTTAGTTTGTGAGGGGGCTCACGGGGTTGGGGTTGGGCTGAGGGAATGGGGATGGCAGACCTGAAAATCGAGGGGGGGGGGGGGGCTAGGGGGGTATGGGTCAGTGTGGGGGCCGGTAGGGGAGGTATGGAGGGAATTGGGGAGGCTGAGAGGGAGGGGGTTTGGGGGTTGGCGAGCAGGGCCTGTGTGTGTGTGTGGGGGGGGGGGGGGGTTGTTTGGTTTTGGGGGGGGGTAGGGTCAGGCGGTTAAAAGGAGGAGGAGTCTGAGGAGTCTGAAGATTTTGGGTTGTTGACGTTATGATAAGACAAGTTTAAACAAGAGATAGGGTTGATGTACAGTGATTGATGGGTATGGGATTAACACAAGGATTACTAATAAGGAATGTATGGAAAGCCAGTGGGGAGATAATAGTTCAGTGTTGTTTTGGCAAGCTGATGAGATCATGGTAAGCTGGAGGGATGTAGTATCCTTGATCTCTGTTTATGACTGATTGAATTTTCTTGATGCAAATGGCTTCTCTAAATTTTCTGAGCTTGAAGTCTTTCTGGTTTGTTGTTAAGATGTTGACGTTGTCCCAC